GGTAATATTTTCAAAATTTCTGCTTTAGAGTGAATCAAAACATCAATTTTTTGGGACTTTTTTGATTTGTCTGTAAAATAATTTTGTCAGCTTAATAGGTTACGGCACTTACATGTATTTTTAAAATTCACTATTCATAAAATTGTGTAAATGAAATTATAGTGATATGCACAGCGGCGTTATGATTTTTTTGAAAGAATTGGTAGGATATCTTTTTTAAGGAAGACACATTTATTAAATATATTTATATTTCTTTGTTTTACAATGTAGTAGATGAAAATGTTTACAATATACTCAATATTAAAAAGAAATGTATGGCAAAACCCCAAGTGCAAAAGTAATAACTTACATCTAAAGTCTGATTTTCATTTTTCTGTCAATATAAGATATTTTTATTGACATTTTTACGACTTATTTGGCCGTAAAAAATATATAATAAAGTTTCAGAGGTCTGTGAGCTTTCTTTAAATGTATTTGGATTTAATCAAGGTGTTGGCTTTTGTAGAACTTTTTATTTTTTTAACTATTCTAAGCTGAGACAGAACCCAATTAATATTCAAATTAATTTTCTTTCAAATAACATACTACATATAAAGTTGGTAATATTTTCAAACTGGTAATATATGTATGTATATAAACTAGTAATATATAATTTTCTTTAATATATCAAACTATTTTCAAAATTTCTGGTTTAGAGTGAATCAAAACTAATTTTTTGGGGGATTTTTGATTTGTCTGTAAAATAATTTTGTCAGCTTAATATTAATAATGAAATCACGAAACTAAAAGTAAATAGAATAGATATTTTTCACGTAAATCTAATGTCACGAAAGATATTTCCTATCCTAATATATCTTTGTAGCGGTCGAGAATATACGAATATTTTGGGTAAAACAAATTTATAAAAGAAGAAAAGTATGAATAGCATATAGAAACAGTATGTAATAAATCAAATCAGCAAGGACGGTATATTCAAATCTGACGAGCTTGTATCATTTATTTTTTATATCAATATATGACGAGATACTGAGAGGCCTTATCATTTTACTTTCTACTTTTTTCCTCGAAGAAGAAGGCATGATAGATGGTCCGGAAATTTTGTTATGTCACACGATAATGCATTTTCGAAAAATTCACTTATGTACGCTTGGATTGATAGTTTAAATTTTATGTTCTTAAAAGAATCTATTTATTAATATTGTACTATTTAAACTATTTATTTTCTACAGATGAAAAGTTATCAAAGAAAAAAAAATAAAATGTATTATTTGAAAGGCATTAGTATAGGAAATTTTTCTAGTAAGATCGTTTTTCATTATGTTGACATCAGTATAATCTAAAATGTCATTGGAAAATTGAAAACTGTAGTTTGACAACTCGTTATAATTTTTTTTCTATTTTATTTCGAGTAAGAGTTTTATTTTGGGCACAGGGAAATTGAGTTGGCCAAATAAATCATACGCCAATTCGATATAAAAGTAAAATAACACACAATAATAAATGTAAATAGCGCACGCATAGTATACTGGCAAATAAAATATTGGGCTGTTTCGAAAAAAGCACGTTCAATCTAGACTAACGAACCCAAAATAACAAAAATTTATAAGGCATTGAAGCATAATTCTCTCTGTGACAATGTATCTATCGATTGGTGTTGCAATAAAATTAAAAAGTGAAAAAATGTAACGGCTATCATTAGTAACGTTTATACATTTGAAATAATATTGCATGAACGTGATAACATAACAGTGAATCAATACAGCTATACATGACTATGTACAAGGTGAATCAACTATTACAATAATAATTTAAAAAGGAATAACATGTTTTTGTTGTTATAATAAGCATGTTCGTAGTTTTAACCGTTTATAAAAATAAATGGAATTTACTACAATGAAAGCCAAGTGAACTGTCTATTTGACGACGAATTTTGGAAAATATGATCATTTTACTCTTCACACAATTTCCCTGTATATAATGATAAAAACTTAAATTTTTACTAGTTTATTAGTGCTATTTTTTTCACATGGAGCGGACCGTTCGTTGGTTTAACAAGTACCATGATTTTATATGAATATTTTCACATGGACGTGGATGCTCTGTCTGGATGATTTCGTCCGACGGCCGTCCATTGTCGGGCCGTTGTTTCACATGCGCAGATTGACAGCACAGGTGAAAGTACTCCGTCGGATCTTAAAAATACACATGACGGACGTTCCTCTTCATGTGAAACAGCCCTTAGCAATTTTCCTGGATATATAGAGTTACCGAGAGTAAATATTTCCGAAATTGCCACCGTACCATGAGTATATTTACTGGGTGGTGTATTGTCATTAGAAACATAGCAAATCCCCTGCAAATTTTGAACTATCCAAATATTGGCACCCCTGTTAATTTTACAGCGAAGTCGTAAACATGTTTTTTAAAGATCAGCGTATGCTGAATACACGTGCCAAATTTGAACAATTTTTGACAAGCCTATTACTATACTACAAGTAATTTAATAAAAACTGCATCTATTTTTAAATTAAAACTGAACAGGTAACAATACAAGACCAGACAAATTCCAACATACCTTAAGAGATCATTCTATGATTTTGTCAATATCAAATTGTATTTCGTAAAGGTTGGGGTTTTGCCTATTTCGAACAAGTTTTAATTTACCAAAATGCATTTTGAGCATACTAGCCGTAGATACTGTAACGTAATAGCGTAGACTGCACAAATTGTAGTTAACATCAAACGCGTTTGCTTTTTATTGTTTCTAACCCTATTTTACTTTAACTAATGTACCCCTCAAGTTTAGCAAATATTTTTGAAAAAAGGCATATTATTCAAAATATTCTAGACGTATCATTTAATAGAAAACGAATTATTTTATTTAATATAAGGTGATAAGAAATGGTATTGCGGAAATTAGCTTAATCACATCACTATTAAATATTTTAACTGGTAGTATAGTCCAACCCCAGAAACACGACTATGATGTTTTTTTCGCAAAAAAAAAAATTGAAAATTCGAAATTTTTTGAAAATTTTTTTGAAATTTTCTTAGTTTTCAGTTAAAAAACATAATTTATTGATAATATGGCATCATAAGTATTAGATTAAATTTACAAGAAAGAAACTCCAAAAATGATCCAGTGGTTCTCAAAATTTTAGCAAAAAATCATTTTTTTGGAAATTTTCGAAGTAAAATAACTCCCTTATTTTGGACTTATTTGAGAAACGATAAAGAGAAAATATGTTTCTTTTATCGAGATCTACCACCCCTTAAAATATTTGCACTTATTTCTGGGACACCCTGTATATTTACAAACAAATACCGTATGATCGAAAAAACGGCGTTCCCCATGGATTTTTACGTATCAAATGACAGGGACCTTCATTTCAGTTTCAAAGCCATCGCATCGCTTACGCCGTTTTTTTCGATCATTGTGTACGTTGTACAGTGTTAACATTTTATGTTGCCCGACTTTCTTTTTTCAACATTTAGATGTAATTAACATTTAATGAACCTTAAACTGTTTGACAAGTGTATTTTTTTCTAATTCATCTCGTTGAAACGCTTTTAATAGTTTGTTTCGCCTTTTTTGAAGAAGGATATTGCTTTCCAAAAAGCCTGTTTTAGTCAGTGCAGCAAGTTCGTGTCTGTTCCATTTGCTTTCAGTACATTTCCAATCTCACTTTTTTTTCGTTAGAATATACACCGACAACTAAAAAAACGTCTTTTGTACAATACGCAAAAGTTCTAAAAAATATTTTTTACTTACTATATATTTTATTTTTGCGTTTTTTTATGAAATAAAATTAAGTTAAAGATAAAGTTGAGTATAAAGTAGGGAGTACAGTAGCATTTTTTTATTAATTCTAGTAAAATTCTTTATATAATGTAATAAATTTACCCTAATTCAGCATTGCCATTTATTCTACTATTCGGGCAAAAAACCGACTAGTTCGATAGAGAAATTAATCTGATATCTCCCTTTCTAATTCGTCTTGCGATTGAACCATCCTGTACCATGCTTGATTCCTAAAATCTTTCTTTTATTCTACTTAATCGGATTCATACAAAATGGAATTCCCTGTGTCGAGTACATGGTATTTTAAAATTTAATTTAATTTACCTATGCCAACAAGAGAATTGCAATATTCTTACATACATAACAGAGGTTTAGCCTTTTTCTCTCACTATTTCTTCTTATTCCTTTGTCTCTCGGTTCTTGTGTCGTTGAATGAGATACAAAACAACCGAAAAAAAAACGGGTGTAGGTTTTTTAAATATTTTTGTACGATGTATACAATAAAATCGGATAGTATACAGTTGATCTTTTTAAAGAAGCAACACCAGACTTCGTAACTTACATAGACTACCAGAGCGCAATGTTTGCACGTTCGAATGAAAATAAGTAAAACAACCCCAAAGTATACTAATATAATATTACGTCTATAGCTATACTTCTAGTACCTATTAGCACAGTTTAAAGAATATATACTAATATGAACAAAACAACTAAAACACTATTTTTGATTCACCCTATGCGTCGGGCGGAACACAAAACTAAAATAAACTTGGAGCGCTGTGTACACGTCGAGCAACGGATATAGACTGACCAAAGTCTACAAGACAGGCGGGGAGCCGCGGGATGGATTTTGATGAAGAGTGAGCCAACTGGTATATATTCTTTAAACTGTGTTTTTTTTGGTGTTAATTAATAATAATTAATAGGTCTATTATTTCCTACTATGAGTATTTCATTATATAGTTTAAATAGTTCACTAAACTTTAATGCCAGTATAGAGATACCGAAGTCAGTTGGAATGGTTTGAAGCTCTTAATTTCGGCACTGTCTTTGATGGCGTTACTCTCGGCACCATTTGCACAAACAAATAGAGGCTCCTAAACCAGTCTAGTGGAGTTTGGAGATATATCTCACATATTTTAATATAATTGTTTTTATCTACTAAGACTGATATTAAAACACAGATTTAAATGTTAGTTGTGTTTATTATTAATAACGTAACTATATAACAAAAATTATATTATTTTATTTTGCTTCAGGAGGAATTCTGGACTGGTTCTTGGACTTCTAAAGCTTGAACCTCTTCGTTATGGTACTAGCTGAAAAAGAGAACAGAATTAGACAGATAGGTAATGAACATATGTGTGTATGTACGACAGATATGTCCTATGAAGACGTTAATATACATACGTCTCCATAGACAGCATTTCTATATGGACCTACACGTCTCTGTAGACATTCTATAGAGACGTCTATGTACATACGTTGTATGTCTATATAGTCGGAACATCACCGTAGATGTTCATTTATATAGACATACGACAAAACCCCTTAAATATAACATAATTATTTGAACCGGACACTCTTTTTGTTAACTTATTTACTAGGTTTTTGTTAATTTAATAATAATTTAATAAATCCTTTTTTGAAAACTTTGTTTTTTTAAATTTATAAGCGTCTATTTCACCCTCTGGTGGCAAAACGTTGAACTAAACTAGGGTTGTGGTGCCATCTGGTGGCAAAACACTGAACTAAAATAGATTGGTGGCGCCCCCTAGCGGTAAAACGCTGAACTAAATTTGTGTTCGTGGCGCCCTCTGGCGTTAAACTGCTGAACTAAACGTTGTGGCGCCATCTATTAGAGGGTGGCTGAACTATAAATTTTAGTTCAGCTACCCTCTAATAGATGGCGCCACATTCGCTTTTAGTTCAGCAGTTCAACACCAGAGGGCGCCACATTCACAAATTTAGTTCAGCGTTTTACCGCTAGAGGGCGCAGCATTCTCAAATTTAGTTCATCATTTTGCCGCTAGATAGCGACACGTCGCTATTTTAGTTCAATGTTCTGCCACCAGAGGGCGCCACATAAAAATAATCTTTTAATGATAATAATAAAAATGCATTTAGTATTATATTTCCTAAGTTAGCAAATAAGTTAACAAAAAGAGTGTCCTGTTCAAGAATTATGTTATATTTAAGGGGGGGGGGGTTGCCATATCCCTATATAGATAGAACGTCCATAGAGAAGACCTGTCTATATAGAAATACCACTAAATATATAGACATGTTCTATATAGACAACTCTATCAGTTATGCTGTATATATGTTGTCTATATAGACAAGTCTATATGGACGTATGTATATATAGACTGAACGTTTAACAGATGTTCGTCTATATAGACATGTTGTCTACGGAGACGTATGTCTATATTCTATATAGACTAAACGTCTGAAAGACCTTTGTCTATATAAATATATGTTTTCTATGGAGACGTATGTCATATAGACTAAACGTCTAACAGACGTTTGTCTATAGAGACATGTTGTATATGGAGAGGTATGTATGGTGTCTCTCTAGACGTCATTTATACATAGACATTTGATGTATATATCAATGTATATGTCGACATATTGTCGATAGAGAAATAGATATAGTGTCAGGTTATATACAGGTTGTTAATTTGTTCATTACTCGCGGCAAGAGCTTTATGGTTGAAATATGGTTGCAACCTCGGCCCGCTCGTCGATAGACGACGCGACGGACGGGACGAGTCGGCAGAAAAATCAATAATGCATGCGTTCTCAATAGGCAGTGTTGCAATTCTGTTCCCCTATAAGTAACTGTCGAGTTAACAACCTGTATAATCTTGCTTTATATATGTATATTTACAATTAAGTTAAATAAAAGGGGGTTAATGGCCGTTTTCCCAGCACTTATTAAGGTTACTTTAAGTGTAGCTTTTAAGGTGACTTCATGTGACTTTTAAATTCGCTTGTCATATTCAAACCTCCGCTTAACGACATAACGTATAAAGTGTCATCGATTAGTAGTTCTAAGATTACTTGTATGTATTATGTGGGTGTAATTACCTTTGTGTATAATTACCTTTGTAATGAACAATAAAATGTATGGTTTACTACTTAAAAGTTAGCATGCTGTAGTTTCTGTTAAATGTTAGTTTTATGTAAAATATTAATTGTATGTTTGATTTGTTGCAGAAGCTGCAATTTGTGATTGTGCAGTTGATAAGAAATAAACTCAAATTCGACAAACAATAAGGAAATAATGGTGAAAGATGGAAGAGGTGAAGAAACAAATAATTTCACACACATATATACACACAGAGAGAAGAAAAATGCCAACTGAACCTGATAAAGCTCATGTTTCGTTAGAAATATGTAATCATTCAGATTTTTAATTATATTATTGTTTAACAGAACGAATTAAATTAAATTCTAATGTAAGTTTAAATTTGCTCTGTATCAGTGTTATTGTTTTTGACAAGTTATATAAATTAATAGTAATAAACTTAAATATTATTATTACTGTATTATTATTATCCACAGCAAATCCTTGGACTGTTCAATGGACCTACGCTTCTATTTCTAAACTCAGTATATGCCCAATGGCCTGATATTTATAATATTAAAACATTCATAATATATTATACAACATAGGGACGCTATAACATCACAGTTTGCCTTGATAAAAATAGCAAGAAAATAAAAATATTCTTATTAAAAAAGCATTTAAAACAAAAAAAACTGTAACGTCTAAAAATATCGCATATTCCAACATATAAAAATATGTAACTTACAGTCAACAATATACAGTCAGTCGAGATATTCAGAGTGACAAGAACGGAAAAATAAATTGAGTATCTCATCTCTGACAGCCTATATATTTACTGAGTAGTAAGGCACAAAATAAGAGTGTGATATCGAGATAACATAATTATGGAAAGAACTATTCAACCAGTTGTTTTTCCTCCTATCTTCAAAGAAGGCCATGAAATTGATTCATGGCTTACATTGCCATAAAATAATTCTAACAAAACGGTTCTTTTCAGGACCACAAAATATTTAATAAAAAAAAAAGAAATAAACCCGTCGGCACTGGTACAGGATTCATTATATAATTATTTTGTAATTATACTAAAATTAATTTGTTGTATAACAATAAAAATCTAAATTCTATTAAGAAAAGAAAACGACGTCACAGTAGATCTGGAAATAATACTTCGCTTGACCTCTACTATATGCATCTCTGAAGTTATTAATAGTTATTACAGAAGCGGCTGATCACAAGCAATAAAAAGCAATTAACCATATGAGGTATGATCTACCTACAGCCTAACAAACTAAATTGCTGTATTCAGAAACATTTCAAATTTTTATATATAGTTAAAAAATAAATAATCCCGAAAATAAAAAAAAACAAAACTGCAACATTCATAAATAAAGAATACTATTGTCACAGTATACCTACAATATGAATAAATAAAACAATAATAAACAAAATAAACCGCTTTATAAACTGTAACCGTATGCATATCTATAAAGTTAAAAATTAACTAAATTATTATGTTTTTTTCCTGTATTCTTGCTTAGCTACCTAGAAATTTTTATCACTAAAATGTCTATTGTCAAAAAAAAATATGAAATAATTTAAAGGATAAAAAACATATTAAAAATCCGCAAATAAAATTATTTATGAACTGGCAGAAAAATCTAGAAAAGAATGTATTTACAAAATTTATTTTATTTCAATATAACCTATAAACTAGTATATTTTTATATGCATTATATGAAAAATACGACAAATGGTAGAACTGCGAAAAAAAACTGCTTTCTCTTTAGTTTTGAAATTTCTTTTTCGGAAAAATATATGTCTATAAAAAACTATGGAAGAATATAGCAATAACTGTAACTCATAAATTGAAAACTAATGAATATAAGGAAATAGTACTACACAATCTTTGTAAATTTGACTATGTAAAAAAAATATTGTTTTTTGAAAATACATTCGGGCTCCAAAAAAGATGCAAATTAAAGTAACTAAATAGGGAGACAAAAAAATAAAAAAAAACCCACCTTAAAATTAATCCACTTCTTTTCCAAAATGTTGCTGCCCAAGTTGTCTCCGATCCTCTGTGAGGTCTTTGGAGGAAATGATAACACTACAACATTTAGCAGAAGCAGAGTTATTGAGTGCAGGAACGTTTTGACTAACGATTTTCTTGGTTGAGGTTCACCTAAAGAACGGAATTTCGAGAAAATTAATATCAGGAGATAAACGTTAGTAAGTATATTTTTAAACCGCGAAGTATTTACATTTTCAATTCAACTCATATAAATATACGTATGATAGCAAAAAACGGCGCCAAAGAGGGCCGAAGAATGAAAATCGATGGTAATTTTGCCGAGGTCAATCTTTAGACGCCTTTGAGTAATTGACATAAAGCTTGTCAAAAATTAACACTAATTATAGAGATTTCTAAAGCATATAACGTTTCCAGACACACAAACAATAAATTATTCAAGAAATTATTTTTTCTCGAATTTTAAACTATACCATTTAATATTAATTTATACAATATAGAAATAAATTACAACCTTCTTAAGGCCAACTGGCAGTAAATGCCATTAAAAAATAAAGAAGAGTACGGCAAAGTAATGACGTCTAGGGCTTGACCTCGCCAAAATTATCGTAGATTATCTTTCCCCAGCCGTCTTGGACGCTTTTTTTTCTCGATCGTATGGTATTATATATATTATATCTAAAAAGAGTTCAAAAGAATAAGCTAGGAATATAAAATAAAGTTTCGTAGTGCTACGAGTCACTTACTATTTAATATGAAATTAATATTAGGTGTAGTGTTAGGTTAGAGTTTGATATTTGTCCCTAAACGTTGCTTTGTTTAACTTCAAGCCTATGCATGCATACGACCGCCACTAGATTATTGGCCTAATTACCTGAACGTATGGCCAATAAACCATACTAAGTATATCCTGGCATGTAATTGTTGCACTATTGCCACAACGGCTACCAAATATTCCATCTATACTACAATTTCAAGTAATGAATTAGACAGACAAAGCTTTGAGCTATTTTGTTTACAAATAGCCACTTCAGCGAAGTAAATGAATCAAATTATGTCCCTTATTGGACGAATATGTTTAATAATAAATAAAAATGTCATATGGGAATAAACTACTTTAAAATTAAATTTAAGCTAATGTCAAACGGACATAAATATTTTATTATATAAAGTCGTTTTTTAAAAAATTAAATATGTATTATAAATATAGACAACAAAAGAATTTAAACTATACACAATTTGAATTATAATTTAGTATTTATTATTATTATTGTCATTCCCGAAATCATTGAAATCATCTACATAATATAAAATGCTAATGTTTATCTGTGTCGTCTCTACTGAAGTAACGACTTGCTCTAGAAAGTTGCTTCTTTTACTAAAAGATAGCTAATTTGCTCTTCTAAAAACTGTCGTCGCCGGATTTTTGATTTTTCATTTAATTAAAAATAAATAAATAAAAAGTATTTTTTTCTGATGTCGTGGCGGATGCGCCAGGCTTCAACTAGTAAAATAATAAATATATAAGAACCACTTCAAACCACGTGCCGGTCGCCGGAGGAACGGCTCCTACGGTGGCGCCCAGTGGCGGATACAGAGGGGTGCCCATGGGGCCCGGGCCCCCTAAAAGCTAAAAATTAGGTTAAATATTCGGCTTTTGGTTTAAAATAGCGGGTAAAGGTGTGGATCCGGTGGCTGACCTTGAAGCCCATATTTGCTGCATTTGATCATCGATTCTACGCAAGCGCACATCGTCGATGTTGCCACATTGCAGTTTATTTTCGAATTATTTTTAGTCAAAAACAAATGTTTTTTGACTGTTAATCAGTAATAATAATATTTCAAATTCTACAATTAATTTTATAATTTCAGATTTATCTTGATATCAAAAATTAAAAAGGTAAGAAGGATAATGGAGATTGTGAAGTTAAGGTATTATAATTGTAATCGGAGTTCTAAGTAATATAATAATGTAATAATAATATATTTATTTATATATTTACATTATAATTAAAAATTATCATTTTATCATACGGATTTTTTCTTATTAGTTTTAAACCTATTAGAATTATTTTGTATCATCAATATGACACATTTATTGCAGCCATTGTAGGTATATATTTTATCGAAGAATGCTGCTTCTTTCCTATATAATACCAATATCTTGATAATATGGTGAAAATTCATTTCTGATCTTATTAGACTAACTTAAAACTTAAGTTAGTTTGTGATTTATATTAAGATATTTCTTATAATTTTTTTATGTCTTAATACCTCTACTACATATTATACTTTGTGGTGTGGAGAATAAATTATAAGATATCTTAATACCTGCAAATCCTTTCCATTAGGAAAAATATTGTTTATAAATCATATTATATGCTAATAAGAAAATCACATAAATTAGGTGTAAGATAGAAAAATCTTGTCACAGAAAAATTAATGCAATATAAGCAGATACAAAATAAGGTACCTATTAATACTGCTCACTCTACAGTTATAATTACGGAGACCTTTTTAAGGCCTACGTAGTTTTAATGGAATGTTATAAAATCTATTATGAACATGATATGGTGCTACAGCATTTAAAAATTCAAAAAAAGAAGAAACTTGGACACATCTTTTAATTTTGCGAATTTTTAATAAAGCACTTTTTAACGTAGTATAATAAATCTAGAGCAATTAAATTAGAGTTTTATTTCTATTTAATTTTATTGACTATGAAAATACATAATAAGCGTTCACGTATTGTGTGAATATTAAAATAATACCAAAATAATATCGTATGATCGAAAAAAGTGGCGTCAGCGATGAATATGAAATGAAGATCGCTGTCATTTTATATGGAAAATGTCATCGATCCTCATTTTGCAGCCAACTGGATGCTGTTTTTTTTTTGATCATACGGTATACATTGACAAAAAAACGCTGAAAAATACAATATTTGTTTTCTTCTGAAAATAATTCCAAAATAATCTGCAATCTGGCAACATCCACGACGTGCGCATGCGTAGTATCTGTGACTATAAGCAGCAGAAACTCGTTTCAAGGTCAGCCACCGGATCCACACCATTACCAAATAGCGCTCTAAAAGCATATTCTACATTATTTTTTATTCGGCCCCCCCTAAAATAAATTTCTGCATCCGCCCCTGGTGGCGCCATCACGTTAGAAACAGATTATAAATTACTTAATCAAGACATTGAAAGCAATCAGATTCGTATTAAAATGTAAAAAAAAAGATTAAATTACCGATTAACCCCTCAAAAAAGTTGAAACCAACGCAATCTAACCTCTTTAGTAAAATTTTATAGTTATAAATAATCAATTTGTGGTGAAAAATAAAAATTAAGTGGTTAATTTATAAAAGGAGTTATTCCTCCAACGAAAGCCTTGGCTTGAAAAAACACCACAGAAAAAATATTCAAAGTAAAAACTTTCAAGAATCTCTACCATAGAGAAATATAGTTTCTATATGATCTCTACACATGCGCCGTAAAAGTGACAGCCACGCAACTATGCTAAGCGATAATGGACCGTAACATATGGAGGCATAAGGAAAAAAATATTCTGACAGCGACAGCTATAGCGACTGCGCAATGTATCTATGGTTTCTAAATATTAAATACTCCAACCAACTCCAACTCCAAATATTTGTCTGGAATAAATTATCGATTATAAAATTACCGGTATCGATTATTGGAACCCAAAGAATTGGTTTGGATAATTTTCTGGCAAGTTAATAAATTTTAAAACATATTAGAGGTATGAGGGAGGTCCTACCAGTCTTAATTTTTACTCGTATTCAAACAACCATGGAGACATAGAGAAGAAAGAACATTAAATATTAATATATTCATAAATTTCTTTTTGTGAATAATAAACTAAAAAGGCACAGAAATAGGAAAATGAGTGGAGTATGCGGTTCTAAGAAATATAATCATCTATATTTGATACCTGACAATAACCTGCCAATTATGGCAGAGTTTATAGAGAAACAACTGAATGATGAGTAAGTTGAATACCTACATGAGAATTTAATATGATCGAAAATTTTTATGATATAGGGTGCTTTGTATGATAATAGATTGAAAACAAATTCATAGAGGAATTAGATACAATAGAATTGTTTCAATTCCCGAAATAATGCATAAGTCAATACCTACCTGATCATAAAACTTTTTGATCTTAAATGTACAAAGTAATGACGAAGTTTTCTAATTAAACAATCCTTATTACATTTAACTGTTAAAGTAAGAGCACGCTTCATTATATAGTATCAATTATAACTCCGAAGCAAATAGGGTCAAGTGGTGTAAAAATGAGACATTTTCCAAAACTTTTTTTTCTTAATTACAATAATTTAAATACAAAAGTATTTCTTGTATAAAAAGCATTTGGTGGTAAAGAAACTATTGTAAAAGTAAAAATTTACAAAAAGAACCCCTAAAAAAGTTCGTGTGCAGAAAAGTATGTCTCATTTAACCCATATGACGTTTAAAACTGAGACATGCTGGGTTAAATATGAGACAGTAAACGCACGTTTAAACGCAGTGCTATTGTTTATATCAATTGCTGTGGTAAAGATGAGAGTAGGAGGATAGAAATTAGACATAGAAATTTATCTTTCTTATTAATAGAACTCTCTAATAAAAAAATCTAGACTAATAAAGAACCACTGACACCTACCTATAATTTAAATCAAAATTCAGTAAAATTATAACGCCGCAAAATATTTATGAACTGAAAGTGTAAAACGATTATATTAAATGAAAAATGAAGAACAAATATGCGTTACATCTCCGCTGCTGACTAACTTTGCAGGCTTTTTAAGATATTTCTCTGTATTCTTGTTTGGTTTCATTACATTTTTTTGGTTAGTTTTGAGTTATGACTAAAATTTAAAAATATACCTACATGCTATTAAGTTGTCTCATTAAGTTAAGTATATTTACCCTTAACTTGTCTCATTACTACCCCTGTGTGTGTCTCAAATTTACCCCTAATAAATTATGTGGAAATGATTATGATGATAGTGATAATGAAATGATAATTATGATGGTCTGTTAACAATTATAGTTAAATGTTCCTACGAAGAAAACTGACTGAATATATACGCCATATTGACATCACTTGACTCTACAGTAGACTCTGTTAAAGTTTTATTTATATTTGATGGAATCTTTAACAAATATTTTCTATGTTTAAGACAATTAATGCGGAGCATACCGGAAGACGATAAGTGTATAATAAGAACGTGGTATGATCAGTTGATGTTTGAGGCACACAAGAGAAAATTTTCAAAATGTTTAGAAGAATTACTCACTATGGTTCGATTTAAATATATGAAAAAAGAGTTGGTTCACAGCTGGATACGAAATATCGACATGAACAACCTCGAGCAGCTAGACCTGGACAAAATTATGGAATCTTGTGACAGATGTCCTATATTCGACATAAAACCAGAATAAAGTACCTATTAGGTATTAAAGAATGTATGTATGTCAGATTTTTAATTAAAATTTTCTTTGAACAGAGCCAAATTATGTAGTACCTAAGTTTAATAATTTATATAAACCGTCCTATAATATTTTATTGAGCATTATGCAATAAAAAAATAAAATATTTTTAATGCAAGCGAAAGACTGTATAATGTATTTATAAATTAAGATCCAAACTACTTTGAGCTTTGAAATAAAAGTTTCTATGATAAAACAAATATTTGCTTAAAGCAATAATAAGCCGAGGCGACCCGAGGCGCGACAAGAAAGGACAGTCCTAAGCAATAGCAATGTACATATCGTTAATTTTTTGTCGCGCCTCGGGTCATTTCGGCGAGCGTGTATTTCTAGCATTAGTACACACTCGCCGAGTTGACCCGAGGGGCGACAAAAAAGGACGGTCCTAACCAATAAAATGTATATATCGTTAATTTTTTGTCGCGCCTCGGGTCGCCTCGGCAAGTGTGTACTTCGAGCATTAGCATAAGCGTAAACATAATAATGTTTTGGTGTTTCAGTTTAGTCCTTTTTAGGCAGATTTTTTTTTAAATTTTAGAATATAGATCAGATAGTTTAGAATTTTAGAATATAGATCAGATAGTTAAAGGAATACATCGGTATATATTTTGGATTATATTTTGTTAGTTACCTAGTTCTCAATGTATAGTTATTATAGCTAGTGTTAATATGGTCATATTTTGAACTTAAATATTATGTATTATTGAAATATTGTAATTAAAAATAAAAATTTTGAAAAATAAAATCCTTTAATATAGTTACGGCAAGTAACTTAAATAGATAAAATCGCTATTTCAATCATGATTTTTTAGAATAACTATTCAAAAACCTTAACAAATACTCCTAGGTATATAAATAACACCGAAAATATCAAAATGATATGGGATTCAATCCCATTTTCCCGGTAGTCTAAATTTTTAAACCCCATTTTTTAAAGATTATACAAATAGCATTATCCCAAAACCTACATCACCATATTTTAGGTAGAATATAAAGTCACTCTGACTTTGAGAAATTCTATTATGTTCCTCTTTTAAGGTTTTGCCTTATTTTAGTTGTTTCTGTCTTTTTTCTTGTGTTACATTTAAAATATCGAAAAGACAAGCGTAGTTATAACTGGATTTTAGTCAAAATACCTGGAAAAAGTGACAGAATAAGTCGCCACGGAAAGATTTCAATCAATTTTTACGCTTGAGACGATTTATCTTTCTATAGAATTGTCCATGAAATGGATATTTAAGGAAACGTCAGTGTCGCATTGTTACTCTTAAGCTGTTGATATTTGCTACTGGGGATTTTCGCAGCTTGATGTATCAACATTAGCTTTCAGATACAGAGAATGTCAAAAAAGCAACACGATATTCCAGCTTTTTTCTCTAACCTTCGAATCTTTCTGTCGAGAACTCTGCATAAGAAATATTTTCACTTGGAACATACTAATTATATTTATTAAGTAAATAGTAACTATTTATATTATTCAAAAACATCATCTATTATTTATCTAAACCCAAAAGCCTCTAAAATGTGAAGTCAATAATTGTATATACTACTTATATACAGTCTCACCAATAAAGTCCCATCATATGGAACTTTTTTTATTTATCGACTTAAATTTGACTTGGGCGATTGTTTCTGCTTTGAATTAGATTATAAACAACCTAAAAAAAATTACTCTGTTGCCCTCTGGTATCTGTCAAAAAAGAAACAACTTTTTCAAATAAAGTTTTTCGAAATTCTGCCAGTAAACCCATTTTTTAGCCATTTGTTAGTTTAAACGTTAAATTTGACAGTTATCTGGGGACAATAGGCAAATTTTTCTTAAGTCATTTTTAATCCGAATCAAAGGAAAAACTATCGCCAAAGTCATATTTCACTTAGGTCAATAAATAAAAAAAATGCCGGCTTTATCTGTGACAGTGTATAATAAATTATTATGTACATGAAAACTATAAAAATATATAAATTCTTAAAATAAAAATCGAAATTAAATGGCTAGAAAAGTTAAAACGTTTACTATTTGTTTAAACAGTTTATAAAGTGTTTCAAGTTGTTGAAAGTGGATCTTGCAGTAAAGTTTTGGGCTTAAAAATACTTTAACAGATTTATATAACAAAATTAAGTTGGCTACTTCAGAATATATATTCTAAAAGTTTTATTAAGTTAAGCGATACAGTTAAGTCAAGTTCAGTTTGAAAACAAAATTTAATAAATGTTACCTTATACATTAGTTTCGATCATGATTACATCTTTTATATTTTTTTGTATTTAATAGACTCATCACCGCGCACCGGCACGAAAAACGGACACTATAAAATTTTAATGTATTTTAATATATTAAAAATAACTAAATTTTTAATATATTATTTTGAGATAGTGAGTTGATCTTGATGACTTTTTAAGTAATATTAAGCTGTATATTTTATAGTTTAATAAAAACAGCGTTATAGCAGGAGTAGATATGATAGGAATTGCATAAATTATATATTTTCAGAGAATTGTGTCCCATTACAACATATAATTTTCACACCTTTCAAGTCCATTGTGCCATTTTTAAATAGTAAAGAGACAACAACGAAAAAAAAACGAATGGTGTCGTTGATTTAAGATAATGGAAAATAATTTTGCAGAGAACTGAAAAGGGCAGCTTTTGAAAAAGACAGACCAGGTTAAAAAATCGATATCACGAAACGCTTCTAGGGTATAAATTTCGAATACGTTTTTTTAGTCGCCAGACTCTACTGACATAGAAAACGTACCACAAATCATACATTTTTTTGTTTATTATCTGCGTTAATAAATTGCATGGAACATATCGGGGACGTTCTGTCCGAACCATCATTCTCCATTGTAATTATATACTTTGTTGTTTTTTATTGTAATTTATATTACAACGATATTTAATAAATATTGTAGAGGTATTTTTCTAGTTTTTAATCATTTTTACATATCTATTACAGGAGCGAAAGTATTAGCCAATAAATTTAAATAAAAATATAAATATATTAAAGATATCTGTACATAAATCTGTATATCAAACTAGATAGAAATATAAACGTCTACTATATAATAATTACTAAAGGGTATTTAGTAATATAAACATCTTAACGTTGCGTTACCTCTTAAACGTATCTGTCAGATAAAATAGTAGACAAAGCCAACAAAAAAATTAAATGAGTGCCTCTACAACCACATAACCATGAATACACGATTTTAATTTAGTATTAATATTCAAAATTTGCTTTGGAGGTCCTTTTTCCATAGCTTTTAATTTTTCTGAATGCACCATAGAACTGAAGGATGATTGCAAAATTATTTCGATTTTATAGTATAGCCGCACTAATAATCGGTCATCGCGACGAGCGACCATATTTTTTATTTTATACCGCGAACAAGATGTGTTAAAAAAACCGTATCACATATTGACTAAAACAGCAAACGGGAGACGTAATCGCGGCAGGAAAGTTCGCTGACCCCGGCTCGCGTTCGGTGGCGTTCAAGATGTAACGAAGACAGTCGCATCATCGCGCTGTCGAGGTATTTTTATTTTTAGCGTTTAGCGTAGGTCTTAATCATCTATCAAAGAATGAAATCGAAATTATTTTACCATAGAAACCGGCTTTTGATTTTTAGGATTTTAAGAAAAATTCAACCATATTTTCATGTGTTTTGAATTTTCTCTAAAACGGTATGTAAATATGGAAAAGCGTAAGCGGAATTAACCATTTTAGAACGAGCAAATGTTTTTTATGAAGAATATATTTTTCTCAAAGTGTCAATAATTTTTTTTTTCCAGTTGTAAAGATAATCCGGTGACATACTGTAGTCTTTATTTAAAGTCTATTTATAATATGTACCTAAAATTTTGTACGGAACCCTGCGTGGGCGAGTTCAACTCGCATTAGTCCGTTTTTTGTTCAATTAAAAGGTAACAAACTACTATACAGTTGGTATTTTTTAATCTGTAAAAGAATAGTATTTACTGAAATCGACTGATAAAAAAGGTTTAACCTAATGTTTTTTGCCGGTGTTTTATTTAATTCTCTTCAATTTGGATGCCAAAAAATTCCTGTTTGAAAAAAAGCCAAATCGTTCAATTCGTGATTAATTGTAAAAGCGTTTCCAAACGGTGTAATCACATTTTCTACTCTTTTGTGTTCAGTCATGAAATAAGTAATATAGATACTGGCACAAGAGATCCTCCACATTGTACTTCAAACAGTTATAATTCATTTATTCGCCAGTTAGTCAATCATCCACGAAATTCACCCTTTGATATGGCTTTTTTCACCGACTGCTCATAATTAATTTTTAATTGTAAAGGTTTAATTTTCTTTCATTTTTTGTTGATTTCCGGAATGCCTTCAAGGATTTAAAAAAAATGTATTTTAGGGTAAAATAAAAATGATTTAAACATTAGATGCTTCAGCGAGCATATTTTATTGTTAAAAAGTCCGTGTTTTTGACTTACAAAATATTAATTTCAATCAAAAACAAAAAGCTTTAATGCTTTGAAGTACCGTATGATTGAAAAAAAAAAACGAGAAATGCCATCGATTGTTATTTTCCAGCCAACTGGACGCCGTTTTTTTTTCGATCATACCGTGCCTACTCACACACGCAACTGTTTGAATTTATTTATTATTTTTACTATATAATTATTCTAAAAGTGTTAGAAAGTATAATTTTTGGAAATTCTAAACAAAAAAATAAAAAGGTAAATATTTTGATATCTTCAGAAGGTCTAACTTGCATTATAATTTATTATTCCTTCCAGTTAAAACATTTTTTTAGATGAGTTCAACTACGGTAGCGAGCATAGTTTTATCACCGGTTTTGCTAGTGGGGCATAATTGGAGCTATTTCGGCTATAACGACATTTGTTAAAGGTACATAATTATAATTTTAAAAGATGTTCATAAAATATTTAATCACTAGTTGATTAAAAAAGTATACCATTAATATTGCTCTCTAATTATATTTCATCCTCTCATAATATATGTCTATTTAATTTTTT